TAATTCATTTTCAAATTTACTTGGCTGACTTGTTTTTTAAGACCTCAGGGAGGCCTTCCCAGACCAACCTAACTCCATCAGATTCCCCTGTTATCCTTAACTCCCTGCATAAAAGGTTTAAGTTCCATTAGGTGAAGAATCTAACTTCTTTACCATTGTAATCTCAGGGCCTACCAATTCTTGGCAGAGAATATGGAATAACTACTGGATATTTTGTGACCCAATCTTGCAGGGCAGTAAAGCCTTCCTGACTGAAAAGGCTTAATAAACTGAGACTTAAAGAAGAGGTAAGAATTGGCTACGTTGGGGATGGGGTTAGAAGAGGTCTGCAGGTGAGATGGGAAGGTGCATTTGAGGAACTCAAAAAAGGCATTTCGTAGGACTGGAGCCTAGAGTGGTGAAAAACAAAGAGAGGTAGGCAAAGGCTAGGTGAGAAGGACCCTGTAAAACATGTGAAGGAGTTTAGACTTAAACCTGAGGGCAAATAGGAAGCAAGGAAAGGCTTTAAGGGGGGGGGGGGGGGGGGCCCTGATCAGATAGGATTTACATATAGCCTGGCAATACGGAGACTGGATTGGAAAGTAACATGATTGAAAGAAGACTCGCTGGGAGGCTGATGACTTAAGTGGCGAGAACTTTAAGGATTTGAGATATTTAAGAGGCTGGTAATGAGTGGCTGCATAGGAGATAAGGAAGGAGTCTAGAAAATTGCCAGTTTCTGGTTTGAGCACACTGGTCACTTAAGCGAAGCACTTTTCCCTCCAGGCTGTCAAAGAGGTTTGGAAAAGACTCCCTTTCCGTACGTATTACTCGTCATAGCAGCCTGCTAAAACCATATCTCTGAGTACCTCAAAAGCTGGAGTAGTACTTTTCCTCTTCGTATTACCGGTTCCAGACACTCCCCCGTAACTAGCTCGATGGCACAGTAAATGTTGAGTAAACGTTCGCTGAGCGGTTATCAACAGCACTAAAATTAAAATGACCGACCTTTTTACTCTTTACCCTCCCGACCACTGTTTTACGGAAAAGACTAACTCCCGAAGAAACAAAATAGAATGCTGTAAGTCTCATTTATAACGACAATGAAGGCTTCGTTAGGGGCCTCGCCCTTTGCGCGCCCCGTGACTCTCTCCCCACAGCTCCTCACCTGAGACACAGAACCGAGACCTGCCCGGGCGACGCTCGTTGGCGCAGGCCACCAGGACTCAGCGACCAGCCAAGCGCCTTGAATCGAATCTCCCGCGTCCTTTTCCGCAGGAAGTGACGCTTTGGCCTTGGTCCCTCAGAGCCAATCAGAAGAAGGCGCCGCAGAGGGTGGAGATTGAACACTGCGTTCTGTGAGCATTCGGGTACGACCATTTTCATCGAATTGCGGGTAGAGAGACAGGGTTTGGCGAATGTTCTTCCCTGACTGGTGGGGTAGGGGCACAGTCTATAAAGCTGGTTTGGGGGGTAGCATAGGAATCTCAGGAAAGGGTGGTAGCGCCTCTCCAATCGGGGTTCAGCAGGGTGACTGGAAGGAGGAGTGGTAGCTGGGCGAAAGGGGTTGGCGGCGCGGTGAAGACGGAAGGGAGGCTACCCGGAGCCGGGAGAAGAAAGGGGGGCGTATCCTGGGAGAAGGGCCCAGGACCAAGCGGGATTCGGGGGCTACCTGGGCGACTCCCGTTATGGGATGAGTTATTTGGGCAACATAGAAATTTGGGTGATTCATGAACAGAGAGTACCACAGGAGGTGGTTGGCTAACATACTGGAAGTGGGTGCAAGGAGCCAGACCGAGTGGTCTGCGAAGCTGTGCGCCATTGCCTCCTGAATCACCCAGTGCAAGTCCCCACACTTCTCGGAGTTTCAGTTTCTTCATCTGTAAATGGGAGTAGTAATCATACAGGACACACAAGATTGCTGCGCTGCTTGAGTTAAATGAGTTGGTATGTGTGCCATTATGCCTAGCGATAATAGTGACATGTAAAGAACGCTCAATAAATTGTCATGGTAGCTATTATTATTACCATTATATGGGGTTTGCTGAGGGTAAGGGGTGTGGCAGTGGAATTGAGGCAGACAGGGCATGGCAGGGAAAGGTGGGCTTGGGGAGCGCTCAAGGAAAGGATGGGATTCCGGCAGTCAGGTAGGAGGGGTCCTGAGATGGTAAGGGCAGACTTGGAGTGTGATCGCAATTAAGGTGGACTCTAAAGAGAGAGACTGCACGGGAGGAAAATAGAAAAGTTGCGGCACCTTCTGGGACGCGGGCGGTGTGGTTTAGGTTACCAGGTTTGGGCTGTGTTGCTGTGGGGCAGAGTGGCTTTGGGTTTCACGGGGGAGGAGCCCATCTGCGGTGGGTGGAGCTTAGGACTCTAGCTCCCTGCATTTGCTGGTCTCGCTCCCACTCACTCTGCAGCTGCCACCCTGGCCATGGGGCGCCACACTGTCCTGCTCCTGCTCCTGGCTTTCCTGACGCTTCGGGAGGTCATCCCCGTACCGCTGGCCCTGAGGGCCCTCAGCAATCTGCACAGGTCAGCCAGCTTCACATCCCGCCCCGCTGTACCCACGAAGTACACGGTTCACTACCTCCAACAGAAGGTAAGGCGAGGCGGGGCGGGCGTGGTAGAACACTGGGGCTTCCCAGTCCCCCTGGGGCTTCCCAGGTCACCGGGCCTAACCCACCCCAGCTGAGGCACCGGAGCCCACCCACAGTTTCAGACCCCTGGTGCCTAGGACTTGTCTAATCTTGGGCTCACAGTTTCCAGAGGGTGGCACCAAGCCCCAGTTCTGTTTAAAATCTCTTCTCCCATTACCAGTACTTTAATATCCGCTCTGGGTCCAACTCTCTTGCGTAATTTGACTTCCCATCAAATTAAAATTATTTAATGCCAACTCGGGCTCCTACTGGTAGTGACAACCATCCTTTGTCCCAAAGCCGCCGTTAAGTACACACTGCCAATATCTTATTAGATAATATTTAGTATTCAGCCTAAAACACCAGTCTGTCATCTCATGCTCAGCTCAAAGTTGATTTTGTAGCCCTTTGGTTGAGAGTTGTTAACCTTTCCTTGGTGGCACAGTCCTTTAAGTATCTGACTCTTGATTTCAGCTCAGGTCATGATCTCAGGTTTGAGATGGAGCCCCACATCGGGCACTGTGCTGACAGCGTGAGCCTGCTTGGGATTCTCTGTTTCATTCTTTCTCTTTCTGCTCCTCCCCCACTCTCAAAATAAATAAACTTTATAAAAAAAGGTTTTTAACTTTTCCTATTTTCCATAAGACTGAACATTTATGTAACCCATACTTGTAAAGGAGGTATGTCAGGATTTGACCGTCAGCATGGGGCTGGGGGTTAGCATTTATATGGTTCTGAAGATTGAGTTTAAAGTAGGCTTGATGCCTTTGTGTTGGCTGAAGCATGAGGCACTCTACAAGTCTGGATGGAAAAGTACATCCTGTGTGAAATGACAGGATCCCTTACAATTCTGTATTTCTGGGGGCCTGTGTAAAGGTAGGCAAAGATTTGGGAAAGTTTTAGATTAGGAAGAATGCAAGAGTCTGAGGTTTGGCTTTTGGAGTAGCATAGATCGGCATTCCACTCTGCTAGCTCCGTGACCTTGGGAAGGATACAGTACCTCTCTGAACCCAGTTTCTTGATCTGGGGCTTTGGTGATGGTTGAATGAAAACAGATAACATGTCCCTAGCAGAATATCTGACCATTAGTAGACACTTTTTAAAGTTCGGCTTATTGACCTGTGTGAATTTTATTTTATTTTATTTTTAAAAAAAAATTTTTTTTCAACGTTTATTTATTTTTGGGACAGAGAGAGAGACAGAGCATGAACGGGGGAGGGGCAGAGAGAGAGGGAGACACAGAATCGGAAACAGGCTCCAGGCTCTGAGCCATCAGCCCAGAGCCTGACGCGGGGCTCGAATTCACGGACCGCGAGATCGTGACCTGGCTGAAGTTGGACGCTTAACCGACTGCGCCACCCAGGCGCCCCTGACCTGTGTGAATTTTAATAGGAATTTGGGATAGAAGGGGTGCATGAATTTGTAACTGATAAGAAATGATTTTTAACCCGGAAATTTAAATAGAGTTTCTGAGGAAGAGAAAGCATTTCAATTTCAGCAGCGACACCAGGAAACGGGCCTTTTTCTCAAGCAGCTCATTTAAATTCACTCTCTAGGCTATGACTTCCTCATTTACAAATTGAGCGATTTGAACAAGGAATGACATGTTACACACTGTACTGAGGAAAATTTAGGACTCTTTGGGAAGCTATCTCAGAGAGGTGGTAGGTGAAGGCCCAAGTGAGAGTGCTCCAGTAACCTCTCTCTCCCCGAACTCTTTGAGCCTGAACTTTATGCTTTGGTGTGTTTTATATATTTGTATTTTGTATACGACTATTTGCAGAGTTTCATTGGTAAAGTAAAATTGAAGGGAAACTATTGGAATGAGGGTGTCTGAAATCTCTTTAAAAATGATGAAAAAGAGAACTAGCAGCTGAAAAGGAACAAAAGGTGGGAGAGACCAAATGATCTGTGAGCACTTAATTTATATTCCTTCATTATAGATTACTTTTTTGACCACTTTACTGTTTAGAAACATAATTTAAGATCAGTTCTTTTTCCATTCTTGGTGGCTTGCAAAATCTGTTTGGCTTTACTCAGCCACCTTTGCCCTCTGGCTTAGCTTGTATTTTAGGACACAGATCCCACATGTTTATTTATTACTATAATAATAATATCCATTACATAAGTTCCAATTGAATTTTATTTCATTTTTTGGAGAAAACTTCCACATATGTATTTATTGCATAATAATAGTTATAGTAGTTACCAATTCTGGACTGTAGATTTTTAGTTGGGACTTACCATGTCTGTGTAAACTCAACTTGATTTTTTTTTTTTTTTAGTTAGAGCACATGAAATATTTTTATGCCTTTTATTTTTTTCTTTTTTCAAGTTTTTATTTAAATTCCAGATGGTTAACATACAGAGTAATTTTAGTTTCAGTGTGCTTTTATGCCTTTTAAAAATAAATGTTATTATTATAACTGTAAGGCTCAGTTTTTATTCAAGGCTTAATTTTTATAAAACCTTGTAATGATTTTCTTTATCTGTAGTTATATCTGTCCAGTTGACAAAGCTATTCCCAGCTATCCTTATATGAACATAAGCTCCATTTATGGTCTGGGTAAAAACGCCTTAGGGGAGGCCTTTTCCTCTCCTTTGCCCCCCAACACACACATATACTTTTAGCAACATAGAATGTAGACTCAATTGAATTTTACAGTGGTTAAAAATTCTGTCTGGCATACCATGTCTCTTCTCCTAAAGTTAAACTCATACCTGTATCCCAACTGAAATGTCCCCTCTTCTGTGAAGTGTTCTTGACTTTAGGGCAACTTAGTTGATCTTTTTTCGCTCTGCAGACTTATTACTTTGGTGTGTCCCCCATACCTAGATAGCACACTCTAGTACCCAGAGGAGCCCATAAAAATTATAAAGTACAAAATACATATTTGTGGAGGGAGTGAATGAATGACTATCCAAAAAAGCCTAAACAAGGCAAAGTCTGTCATCATTTAATTGACACAAATCACTTATTTTTATTTTCATCTTTTACTTCTATTCTTTACTAATTATTTTTTCTCTTCTTTCAGAGTCTTCAAATGTTGTTGATTTAGTAGGAATATTTGATTTCTTTTATCCGAAGTAACTGAATCGGGAGACCAGAGAAAGGATAGTACCTCACTTGGTCACATCCAGGCTTTGGGCACATGCGTGATGCCAGTGTTGTAAGGGACTCCTTGGAATCCATGGCTTGTGGTTACAATGTTTCCCTACTTCTCATTACTCTTCATCTCTCACGCAAGCCTGTCACAGTAGAATTTGAGTACTGTGAGAGCATTTTACTATGTGATGTACTGGGAAAAGGGAATGGGTCCTTTGAGGCTCTCATTTTCCTCAGTGGTGACTTAGGAAACAGTATTCATTGGATTAATCAGACTTCTGTACAGAAACAGAACCAATAGAATGTGTCTGTGTGTGTCTGTGTGTCTCTCTTTTCACAGAGATTGATTTATTTTAAGGAATTAGCTCATGTGATTATGGAGGCCTGGTAAGTTCAAAATCTACAGGGGAGGCTGGCAGGCTGGACACCCAGAGAAGAGTTGCAATTTGAGACCAAAGAGAGCCTACTTGTATAATTCCTTCTTGCTCAGGAGAGGTCAGTCTTTTTTTTTTTTTTTTTTTGCTATTCAGGCCCTCACCTGGTTGGATGAGGTCCACCGACATTATGGAGGGTAAATCTGCTTTATTCAAAGTCCAGTGATTTAAATGTTAATCCTGTCCAAAAATATACCATCATAGAAACATCCAGAATATCTGGACCCTATAGCCCAGCCAAGTTGACATGTAAAATTAACCATCACTTCTACCAAGGTTGTTTTGAGGGCCAGATATGGTAACCCACGAAAGCACATGCACAGTGCCTAGAATACGGTAGGAACTTAAGGAAAGTAATAGAGTAGTGCTGGTTTCTTCCCCACTCTGTCCTAAAACCACACTCTCATAGTGTTATCATTTCAGATTGATCCAAATGCATGACCCTTGTGGTAATGCCTCTTCTAGAAATTTAGTGGTCAGTCATCTATACTCAACTATTCCTATTCACTGACCAGTGTTTATGTTAGAATTCTGCATCTTCATGCAGCATTAAGCTCATGGCCACTGACTTCTGCAAGGCCTTCACACAGCTCCTTCCTTGCCTGCTGTGAGGTAATCCCATCAGTGGGCTGAGCTATTTTTATTTGTGTTACAGCTTTACTTTCAGTTCCTACTCCAGGTTCTCCTTTCCCACTCATGTCACGGTGGCCCTAATGTCTAGTAAAATATTGCTCTTTCCTCCTCTTCTTTTTAGTTTTTGCCCTCTTCTCTTCTTATTATTAATTGGTTCATCTGTTGATAGTTTTCCCCTTACGGCCTGGACCACATGTCACAAATATTATGTGAACTGATTTCTGTTTTTAATCATGGAATCAATGCCAGAAGTGGTCTTAGAGATCATGTCGTCCATCCCTTAGATATGATGAAGTAACCTTGATCTAAATTATGGAGAGTCAGGAACTTGATAGAGATCGAATACCATACAAGTTTGAGAACAAATTCTGTTTCTCTGAGCATCTATTTTTATAATCAGCAAGATGGGGATAATTATATTATTCATCTCACAGATTTGTTGTGAAATGAGCTAGTATGTGTAAAGGGCTTAAATAGCACAGTTTATATCACTTCACTCAATAAATGGTAAATATTTTTATTTTATCTTGTGGTTTCTTAATGCATGTGGCTTTAATCTACCCCCTCTCCACACAGAATATTTAAATCATCACTTAGCATACCTAAAATAGTTATTTTGTAAAATATGAAAATCTGTATGAACTTTTCAGTTACACAATAGTAATATATGCCTTTTTATCTGTGAGATATAATTTAATACACTTAGAAATAAGGCAAAGAAATTAACTCTTTCCTTGTTTGAAACAATTTTCTTTTACATAAGACATAACGGAAAGCATATAAGCTATTTCTATTATTTTTTTCCTGTTCTATTTTGTGTTTTGGTAAATTGTGGAGGGGACAATATGACAGTGAATGCATTATTTTAGGTGTTTCAAGTATCTTCTCTTTTTGATACTAATACTAAACCTAACACTATCTTTCTAATAGCTCTCAATGTTTGACTAGTTAATGCTAAAATGTAATTTCAGTAAAAATTAATTTTAAGGTTTTGCTCTGTCATATTTATGTCCCTCTGCAGCATATTACAAGGACTTTAAGTACTTAAACATTTTCAAAGTTTGGGTTCTAGTATCAACCAGACTTGTTACTAACTCATATAATGACCTGGGACAAGTTGCTTACCTCTAGATCTCAGTGTAAGGTCTCTTATGTAAGATAAGAGGATTCCATATGCAATCTGTGATACATGTGTCATTCTGTTCACTGAGTGCCTCCTGTCTGTATGGCCCTATATCAGGATCAGTGGGGATTTGAATACAGGTTGTGTTTTTTACCCTTGCCATTAATTGCATTTGGCACAGCAGACATGAACAATTTTTCCATCTGAACTTTGAATTAGACACAGACTCATATAAAGGGTTTTTTTAAATTAAAACTACTTAGCTCTATGGGGCACCTGGGTGGCTCATTCGGTTGAGCGTCTGACTTCAGCTCAGGTCATGACCTCTCTGTCTGTGAATTTGGGCCCCACATCGGGCTCTGTGCCGACAGCTCAGAGCCTGGAGCCTGTTTTACATTCTGTGTTTCCCTCTCTCTCTGCCCCTCCCCCACTCACGCTCTGTCTCTGAAAAATGAACAAACCTTAAAAAAAAATTTTTTTTTAATTACTTAGGTCTACAATTAACACAGTATTTATAACATAGAACACTATATTTATGATTTTGAAGTTTGCTTGGTTATGGGTGGATTGGAGAAGAAAGAAGAATCATAGGGAAGAAGAATACTTTGATGATATGTCTTATTTGTCTTCATATTCCTAGTGCATTGCACAGTGCCATCTACATAATAGTTCTTTTTTTTTAATGTTTATTTGTTTATTTGTTTTTGGGGGGAGGGCAACAGCAGGGGGAAGTAGAGAGAGAATCCCAAGCAGGCTCCATGCTATCACCATGGATCCCAATGTGGGGCTTGAACCCACAAGTCATGAGATCATGACCTGAGTTGGAATCAAGAGTTGGATGCTTAACTGATGAGCCACCCAGGTGTGCCTACATAATAGTTCTTAATAAAGATTTTCTTTGAATGGAAAAAATTGGCTAAAAATTAAAATGAATAAGGAGTAAGAGGAGGGAGAATAAAATGAAATGTGCAGTATATAATTGTCTAATGCACTGATAATACTAGTAATCTGCTACTGTTGATTGAAAACTTTATATGCCCTTGGTTTTTTGTTTTTGATTTTTTAAAGTTTATTTATTTATTTTGAGAGAGAAAGAGAGAGCATAAGCAGGGAAGGGGCAGAAAGAGAGGGAGAGAGAATCCCAAGCAGGGTCCACACTGTCAACACAGAACCCAATATGGGGCTCTAACTCATGAACTGTGAGATCATGACTTAAGCAGAAATCAAGAGTTGGACACTCAACCGACCGAGCCACCCAGGTGCCCCTTATATGCCTTAGGTTTTGAGTACTTAATAGACATTCATTTGTTTAATTTCTATAGCAGTCCTATGAGGTAGATGCTATTATTATTCCACTTTATAGGTGAGAGAATGATCATACAGAAATGTTGAGTTACATGTTCAAGATGCACTGTCCCATTTTGTTTTTCTGAAAATAAACTCTAATGAGTTTCTAGTTCTAAAGTAAATGTTATAACCTTGCTTGTTATACTAGGTGGGATAGGATAGGTTATGCTGCTGTAGCAGAACTCCAAAAATTTAGTGACTTAACCCCCCGAAAATTTATTACTCAAATTGTATTTCCATTGGGGTGAGCAGAGGGTTCCCTTATTACATTCACTTCAAGACTAAAGGACTTATGGAAGCTTCCTCTCAACATATACTTTCATGATCACCATAGCAGTGGAAAAAGAACATGAAATGATAATAAATGTTCCAGTCTGGAAATGGCACATTCATTTCATAATTCATTGGCCCAAACAGACTACATTGCTGCATCTGAGGACAGGGTGGGGACACAAAAAATACTGATTCTGGAGTGCCTAGAAGGAGAAACAGCACTAATGACTACCATACTCATTCAGTCTCTTACCCACCCACCCATCCACCTACTCACTGTTCATCTAATTCCTTTTATATGTCAGGCACTGGACTAGGTCCCAGGAAGGCAGAGATGATTATATCCTGGAAGACCTCACATACTTGTTGGCCATTGCAGTCATACATACTTAAGCTTGTATCTGAAAAATATGGAAAAGGACTAATACATTTGTAATGTAGATTGCTTCAAAAAGTCCCTGAAGTAAGGCGGGTCTACTTAATATTTTCTTGCTCAACTTACCCTTATCATGATCGTTCACTGACCTGATGTATATATACATTGGAGCATGTAGTAAATAAAGGAATTTATTTATTCATACTGTCATTCAGTAATTGAAAAAGATTGTTTTGCCTGTTTTTTTCATAATAAAGGAAACAAAATTGATATAGAGATTTATGTAAAAAATCTGATGTATGCTTTGTAAGTGTTCATCAAAGGGACAGTTTTGCATTGACAGTGTGTATGTGATTGGGGTGTTTATAAAATTTGTTTTTTTTATTTTTTTATTTTTTATTTATTTTTTTTTAATTTTTTTTTTCAACGTTTTTTTATTTATTTTTGGGACAGAGAGAGACAGAGCATGAACGGGGGAGGGGCAGAGAGAGAGGGAGACACAGAATCAGAAACAGGCTCCAGGCTCTGAGCCATCAGCCCAGAGCCTGACGCGGGGCTCGAACTCACGGACCGCGAGATCGTGACCTGGCTGAAGTCGGACGCTTAACCGACTGCGCCACCCAGGCGCCCCTAAAATTTGTTTTTTTTTAAATATTTTTTATTATGATTCACAATTTAAGAAGAGTCATAGTTGTTTATGAGCGGTGAATGAATAAACATTTATTGATTGTCTTATCTGAGCCAGGTATTATTTTAAACTCTTTTATATCCTACTTTTAATTATTACAATCACTTTTAAAAATAAATACTTTTTTGTGGGGCGCCTGGGTGGCTCAGTCGGTTGAGTGTCCGACTTCGGCTCAGGTCATGATCTCACAGTTCCTGGGTTCGAGCCCCGCATCAGGCTCTGTGCTGACCGCTTGCTCAGAGCCTGGGGCCTGCTTTAGATTCTGTGTCTCCTACTCTCTCTGCCCCTCCCTCGTTCACGCTTTGTCTCACTCTGTTTCTCAAAAATAAATAAATGTAAAAAAAAAATTTTTAAAAAATAAAAAATAAAATAAAAATAAATACTTTTTAAAAGTTATTTATTTATTTTGAGACAGAAAGAGAGAACATGCAGAGGAGGGGCAGAAAGACGGGGGTAGAGAATCCCAAGCTGGCTCTGCTAACAGCACAGTCGGACTCAGTCTCATGAACCATGAGATCATTCAATCTTTACAACAACCCTGTGAGGTAGATACCATGCTCAGTTTTAGAGGTGAAACTAGGAAGGTTCAGAAAAATCAAAAGAAGAAATATTCAAAATATCCCACTTGTCAATTTGCTGGTTTCTCAATCCCAAATTGTAAATGATTTATTATATATCCATAAAAGGGAATATTATTGTCTCTTGAAAATGGTGGCGTTGAAGTATATCTGGTAGTGTGGGGAGATGTTCATCAATTAATGATAAGTGAAAAAAGCAACATAGAAAACTTGAATGTACAATGTGTTTCCAAATTCATTTACTCAATTTTTGTTAAGTTCCTACTTTTTGTAAGGCTCTTCTAGGCACTGGGGGAAGAGCATTCAAGGCATAGAAAAGAGTAAGTACAAAAACCCTAAGGTAGGTGTGTGCCTGGTGGGAACAACTACAAGGAGGCCAGTATGGCTGGAAAGATGTACCCAAGGAGAGAATAGTAGGGGATGAAGATAGTGAAGAGGAAAGAGAACATAAATACTTCACTAGCAGAGAAGGAAAGTAAATGGACTAGGAAAATGCAGTGTGATGCAGGCAGCTTTGAAGCCTCATACATATTAGACCATTTGACAGGCTGTGTGTTTCTCTAGCTACATTTACTTTCTTGGGTATGAGTGAGAAGTTGGTGGAAAGTTCTTTTTAGCCAGGATTATCCTTTTGCCAAATCAGTAAAAGAAAGTCAGAGAGAGACATGGGGACTGAGGGGCATATGCAAGGGAGTAATTTACTCATTGACCATGAAATTTAAGCCAAGTCAGAAAGGGAGTGAGGATGGGGTGAGGGACAGTAAAAGGTAGATTATATGAGGTTGAAGGTCCTCCTTGCTTCCTGCAGTGCTCCCTCTACTGTAGTCCCTATGGGTCACATTAATCACATCTCCTCCCATCAAGCCACTTTTCTGCTCAGAGCCTGCAATGATTCCTTATTGTTTGCTTTATTTAGAATAAAATCCTGTAGCATTCAAGGCCTTCCACCTTGTGACCCCAACCCACCTTTCCAGTGTGTTAATCTATTCTTCACACACGCTCATTCTTTTCCTGTTTCCTTGCTTTAGCCCATATTGTTCCTTTGGCCTGGAGTACCTTTCCCAATGCTGTCCCTGCTTTACCAATCCCATCCATTTTTTAAGCCCCATCTCAGATACTGTCTGCCTACTCCATGAGACA